ATCCTCCAACAGCTCATCTGATCTTCGTTTATTCGTTTTCAAGGCCCATTTCTTAGATGGTTTTTAAATTCGGGCAGGATAGACTCAAGCTCAAATTTTTATTTCTGTGGATTGGATTTAACTTTCATTAGCTTTAGTTTGAACTTTCATAAAAGTAGTTGATGGTAGGGAGTTGTGGTGGCCTAGTGCCAAGAAGCTGTACTGCAATCCCAGAGGTATGTGGTTCTAATCTACCAGATGCTTTGCTGGAGAAGGAGGGGCAATCTCCTCCTGTACCCGAATTGATTTGATGGTACACACATAAAAATAATAAATTTTTAAAAAACTAGTTGATGTTCTGTTTCCCAATCAGTACCTGGTCTAGTTTTCACAGCTGAAATAAAAAAGTACCAGAGGAATATCTATCTGTGTTTCATTGACTATTCAAAGGTATTTTATTGTATGAATCACAACAAATCGTGGCCAACATTGAGAGGAATGGATACCCCAGAACACTTGATTGTGCTCATGTGAAACCTATACTTAGACAAGGAAACAGTCCTCAGAACAGAGCAAAGAAATACTGCATGGTTCAAAATCCATAAAAGAGTACATCAGGGGTGCATCCTATCTCCATACCTTTTCAATCTGTATGCAGAACAGAGGTTCTTATGAAGAGGGTCTGGCATCAGGATTAGAGGAAGACTCATCAACAACTCATATAATGCAGATGACACCACCTTGCTTGCCAAAACTGAGGAAGACCTGAAGTATTAACTGCAGAGGATCAAGAACTGTAGTCTTCAATATGGATTGAAGCTCAACATCAATAAGACAAAGTGACTTACAGTTAGGCCAACTGGCAGCACCATGATAGGATGGAGAAAAGATTGAGGTTGGTAGCAATTTTACCTTGCTCAGCTCCACAATCAACACTCTTGGCACAAACAGGCAGGAAATAAAAATATTAATTGCATTGGGGAAGTTTGCTGTAAGAGATATCTCCAAAGTGCTAAAGAGTAATGATGCCAGTCTAAGGACTAAAGTGCACCTTGACCCAGGACACAGTCTTCACAATTACTTGTTATCAGAGAGCTGGACAATGAGTAAGGATGACAGAAGAACTGATGCCTTTGAATTGTGGTGCTGGAGAAGAGTATTGAACATACCATGGATTGCCATGAGAAGAAACAAGTCTGTATTGGAGAGGGTGAATCCAGATTTCTCCTTGGAGGGAAGTATTCTGAAGCTCATACACTTGAGGCCAAAAAGGACTAGTCTTTGGTGAAGGACATCATACTTGAAAAGGTGGAGGGACAGTGCCATACTTGGAAAGGTAGAGGGACAGTGCAGGAGAAGATCCTGGATGACATGGATTTACACAGTAACAGGGCTAAATGGGGTAGTTGTGTTGGAATCCGTGAGACTGGCTCAGGATAGGAAAGGGTTAATATCTTTGTACCTAACATCATTATGAATTGCAGGTGACTCAATGGCACATAACAACAACAAGTAAAACTCATCAACAAACTGCATTATGCAAATGACACAACCCCCCCATCTATCATGATATTTCCTATAAAAAAAACCCAAAAATCCTCACAATTAGACTAACAGGAAATATCATGATAGATGGGGGGGGGGGTGCAGGTGGGAAGGAACTTTTCAACCATTTTACTTGGATTCACAGTCAACACCCATGGTAACAGCTGTCAAGAAATAAAAGATGTGTTGCATTAGGCAAAATTGCTGTCTCAAGGATCTCTTGAAAGTGTTCAAGACAAGGATATAAGTTTAAAGATTAAGATGTGCCCCTCCTAAGCCATGGTATTTGCGATTGTTTTATATGCATGTGAAAACTGGGCAATGAATTAGGAAGACGGAAGAACTAATGCACTTGAATTGTAGTGTGGTCAAAAATTATTTAATATACATAGTACTGAAGAGCAATGGTGTCTCTCTGGAGACTAAGGTGCATCTGATACAGGCCATGGTCTTCGCAATCACTTGTTATGCATCAGAGAGTTGGACAATGACCAAGGAGGATAGAAGGAGAATTGATGCCTTTGAGCTGTGGTGCTGGAGAAGAGTATTGAGAATACCATGGACTGCTAGGAAAACAAACAGATTTATCCCGAAAAGGGTTAAACTGGGTGGCTCCTTGGAGGCAAGGATTCTGAGGCTCCATCTAACATACTTTGGACATGTTGTGAGGAGAGACCGGTCCTTAGAGAGGGACATCATGCTTGGGAGGGTGGAGGGACAGTGCAGGAGAGGAAGGCCCTTTATGAGGTGGATTGATTCAGTGACTGGGATAATTGGGATGGGAGTGTCAGAGACAGTGCGATTGGCACAGGACAGAGTGGAGTTTAGGCTTGTCGTACATAGGGTCGCTATGAATCACAAGCGACTCTACGGCACGTAACAACAACAACAACATGCTATTGATTATGAAAAGAATGAACAAATCTGTCTTGGAGAAAGTACGTCAGTGTGCTCCTTAGAAAGAATGTGACATTTCATCTCACATATTTTGGGCGTATTGTCAGGTGGTGTTAATCCGTGGAAAAAGATATCATGCTTGAAGAAGTAATGGGTCCATGAAAGTGACCAAGACCATTTGACAAGATGAGTTGACAACAGGACTTGCAATGATAGTTTGTCCATGGTAGAGGTCATGAACATGGCACAGTCTGGTTCTGTTGTTTACAGGGTTGCTATGAGCAGTAGTCAACTAGATGGCACCTGATAACGATATCATATATACATAAAACCTAGCCAATGAATAAGGAAGATCAAAGGAGAATTGATGTCTTTGAATTGTGCTGTTAACAAAGAAATTTTAATATGGCAAAAAAACAAATCTACCTTGGATAAAGGTGCAGCCAGAATGCTCCTTATGAGTAATGATAGTGAAATTTTCTCTCACATTCTTTGATCATGTCATCTTGTAAAATTGAGAGTCAGAAAAGAAGAGGAAGAATCTAACAAGATGGGTTGACATAGTGGCTGCACAGAAGAGTGTGAAGATGATGTGGGGTCTGGCCAGGTTTGCTCTCCAAAATAAAAATGTTGTTATCAGTCGGAGCTGACTAGCTAACAACAGCAGTGTGGTTGAAGAAATCTTGGGGAACTATGGTGTTCTTTTTTTTTTTTTTTTACTATAGTTGTCTTAATGTATAGAAAGTTGCCCTGTCAGTTCAAATGCAGGTAATTCAAATTGCCATCTATTCCAAGAGAGAAAGATGGACAATCTCCTTCAATGCAATTCATAATGCTTGATAACCTGCTCAAGGGTCAGCTACAAATTGGTTCCAATTTTATGGTAACAAGTAAGCCTTTGATGATACATTGTTTAAAACACACAATTACTAACCATTAGGTCAGAGGTTGTATCCCACCAGCCTCTTTGCAGAGAAAAATGTGGCAGTCAGCTTCCATAAAGATTTCTATCCTTAGGCATTATACATAAGACAATGGTCTAGAGTAAGATGTATATTGCAAAGAGGACTAACTAGGGCAGGAGATGGGATGAAGGGAGGAAAATGTGCAAAACTGAATGAATATTCTAAAAAAAAGAAAGTGAACTGGGGAGGGGGAAGAGTGGGAGAGGGAGGAAAATGTGCAACAATGAATGAAAATACAACTTTTCTGTAAAATTTTGTTAAAATCACAATTAAAATTAAAATGAATTTTAAACATTTACATTCTTGATTTTCCCAACTCTCTGCTGAATGGACAGACAAAAGAATAACTTGAGTGCCCATCAACAAACACATGAATAGAGAAGCTGTGGTATATTCACACAATGGAATATTATGCAGCATTGAAAAACAAGGAACTCATAAAATATTATGCAAAATGGATGACCCTGGAGGACATTATGCTGAGTGAAATATCTCAGACACAAAAGGACAAATACTGCATAGTGCCACCGTTGTAAAACGAGACTGACATTGGGGTTAGGGTGAGACTGAGAAAAATGGGATAAATTATGTATATTACATTGAAACAAATGAGAGCGAGAACTGTTTAAAAGGGATTTATGATTAGGTATTATTGTCATGACAGGAGTCCAGAACGAAGGCTGCATAGTGGAATGGACTTAGGGGGTGGGATTGTATAACAAGGAAAGAATTTTTCTTTTACTTTTCAAAGAGCGAACTTGGGGGAAGAGGTGGGCAGGGAGAAAAGTGCAACAATGAAAGAATGGAGATTTAAAAAAAAAAAAAGGTTTTGAAAAGAGTGCGGCCAGAGTGCTCCTTGGAAGCAAGGATGACAAAGCTTCCTCTTTCGTACTTTGGACATCTAGCTTAGATGTTCCTTGGAAAAGAACATTATTCTTGGAATGATGGAGGGTCAGCGAAGGAAAGGAAAACCCCCAGTGAGATGTGTTAACACTGTGACGTCAGCAATGGTCTCTAGTGTCTCAGAGACGGGGAGGGTGAGGATGGCACAGGAGGGGTAAGTTTCAGGCTGGTTGTTGACAGGGTCGCTATGAATTGTCCTCAGCTCAACGTCACCGTCACCTAACAATAAATCCTATGGCGCTATTCTACTCTGTCCTATCATTCAGAATCGTCTTGATGACAGTGAGGTTTTCAGTTTTATAGTCTAGTAAAAAGGAGGTCGTAGGAAATATTTTGAAGGTTTAAAGATTATCTCCGCAATACTTTTGGGACAAAGTAGGGCATCTACTTTCCATGAGAATCTGAAATTCTCACAGGCTATTTTTAACATCTTCTCATTGATTATGTTTTTTTTCCAATTTTGTATACTGAAACTTTGTTTCTTTTGCGAACAGACAGGGAAGCCAAACCAGATACTACAATAATTTTTTTAAATATTCCCAGCACTAGAAAAGAGGAAGTGGCGTGAGCACATAATGACTCCACTGGAGCTGGAACTGGGAGGGGTGGGGCTGGGATGGGGCGGGGCTGGGCATGGGAGGTAGGTGGGCTGCATCGATCTCCTGGAAGGGGCAGCCTGCAGGAAAGGGGGCTCTCAGCACTCTTCCACTCCTGTCTGCTGAGACCATGAAACTTCCCCTGCTCTGTGTGCTGGTAATGGTGGCTGGTAAGTGGGGTATCAGGATCCATGGCTGGGAAAGGTAGGAGAAATGCCAGTAGACCCTACACACTGCCCTCCCCTCTTTCTAGACTGAGCAACTGCTGCTCTGATGGCCTAGGGCTGGACCGCCCGCCGAGTCCTCCAAACTTTCCACACCCTGCAAGGAGCCAAGGGTGCCTGTCTGTTCCTTAGAACGGTGCCTTGGGCCAAAGAAGTCTGGGCTACAAAGCTGCGCTGGCATGGCCCAAGACTGATGGTGCCAACAGGTGGGAAGTTCACAGTCTAGGAGCCTGCTAGTAGACACTCGTAAACACTGGAGCAGAGTCTTCTTTGAAGCTATGGAGACGGCTCTCCTGAGTACTGGTGGGGGTGAGGTGTTTTAATCCTCTCTTTAGCAGATTAAATGTAAAAATGTGGTTGCTAGCAAATTGACATTTTAGTTTCTTAATCCATCTCGAAAAGTTATTTTTAAAAGGATTTAGCATTTTTAATGATGGTTTTCTGGTATCTTAAGACTCCTAAATTTTTGAAAGGAGCACTTCTCCAGGGTTATAATGAAAGCATTTGGGAAATTTTTATCAGACGTCCAGAGGAGTGTAATGTAGAGATAAAATTCACAGAAGAATTTGGATTCTGACAACACTGGGCTCAACATCTCCTCTGGAAGTGTGACATTGGGTAAATCACCCAACTTCTCTACAGTCTCATCTGTAAAGTGGATATTATGACAGAATACACACTGAAGTGTTTAATAGTATGAAGTAATAGTAAGCAATAGGCTAATACATGGTTCGTGTTCAAAAGATGTTAGTAGGGCTGCCTCCTGCCCACCATGTCTTGAGGACTGGTGCTCACTCCCCTTAGAGGAAGCAAAGGCAAGCTGCTGCAGCCACGGATTGAGCTGTCTCACTTTGCTAAGCCTGTATTGTCTAACTGTTAAATACGAGAAATAAGAGCACTCAAAAGCATTCTATGAGCTGAGTTTATTACTTACCTGGCAAGAGAGTTTTATCATTCAGGTATGTTCTTGAGCCAAAATTGAAAGAGCCGGATATAGTGTCAAAAAGTAGGTGGATATACCAAGAAAGGCAAGATTCTAAATTAGGTCTCTGTTTGGCTTTGTAAATTGTTTGTATTGGGTTGCTTTTGAGTTTCACATCACTAAATCCAGCATGGGTTGTCAGCATGGCCCAAGATGTCTCATTAATAATCCCATACAGTAGGAATCACAATGTCAAACAGGAGTGGCAAAGGGGTCCCCAGGCACTTGGGCCAACAGTCTGAGATACAAGGTGGAAAGCACCAGCTGCCACCCAGTCACTTGTAACCCAAGGCTGCAAGGTGATTGTTCCCTTTGTCCTATGCATGGATCCTTCCCGATGCTCCTCATCTGGACCTCCCTCAGCATGAGATTATCAGAGTTGATATGGCTCAATGTGAGGACCTTTTCATCATACTATCCTTTATCTGAGTGCTAGGGAGGGTTCTACAATTACAGTCACTCGAAGTGGGGACACAGCACTCAGTAGCTATGGTTACTTTTTTTTTTTTTAATAGTAATGCCAGCCCAGTCTTCCTTACACCTGGCTCCATCTCAATGAACAGTCACTGTATGCTTGAATTATCTCTTGCAATGACGCAAATGCACATTTAAGTCTCCGTCTTGTCTGTTCCTTCCAACATTGCTCTTGAATTCATTGACTGAAAAGATATTTCTTCCAATGATACATAATACTACTCTCTCTTCCAGTTAAATAAACTCCTCTTATGATCAGTTTTAACTGGAGCCATTCCTAAATGGTGTATGCAGGAAATTTATAGATTATGTATCATGCTGCTTCCAAAGAGGCATACTTTTTAATATGTAGGTTTCTTTAGAGAGTAGGTTAGAATGAGGGGTGAGCAGAAATTCTTAATAATATTCAGAAAGGAAAGTCATTACCCAGAAACAGTGAATGAAATTGAAGTATCGGGTTTCAATCATGGTTCCTCCAATTATGAGGCACTTTGACCTTGAACTGGAGACTGTGTGGTTCAGTGCTGAAATGCTCGCCTTCCATGTAGGATACGCAAAGTCAGGATGTGCAGAACGGACCTCGTGCACAGCTACTAATTATCTGTCAGTGGATGCTTGTATTATAATCACTTCACACTAAAAGAGACTAGGGGAAAAGGCATGGAGAACTACTACCAAAAAACAGCTAGTGGAGCAATAAGAGAGTTGCAAATCAAAACTACAATGAGATACCATCTCACCCCAGTAGCAGTGGCAAAGTTTAACAAGACAACAAGCAATAAATGTTGGAGAGGATTTTGGAGAGGCTGGAACTCTCATACATTGTTGATAGGATTGTAAAATGGTGCAACAATTTCTGGAAGAAAAGTTAATGTTTCCTTGAAAAGCTGAACATAGAAACTCTGTCTGACCCAGCTATTCCACTACTAGAAATATACCCCAAGGAAATTAGAACTAACACACAAACAGAGATCTGTGTACCAATGTTCATTGCAATGTTATTTGCCATCTCAAGAACATGGAAAGAGCCCAGATGTCCAACCACAACTGAATGGATTGAGAAATTGTGGTATAGTCACACAGTGGAATACTATGCAGCATGTAGGAACAATGATTTTCTAAATCACTTCCTAACTTGGGAGGGACTGGAGAGTATTATGCTAGGTGAACTAACTCAGTCCCAAAGTGACATATACTGCATAAGACCATTAGTGTAGAATCAGATAACTAATAAAATGTGTATAAGGACCCGAGGAGGGATGGAAGCAGAGGGGAAGGGATCATGAGGTCATAGGTTTTGATGGATGGAGTGGGTGTGGGTTGGGGAGATGGGAGGGATGTCTATGAACTTTGTAGGTAAACCAATGTAAATTTTTTTTAAAAAAAGAAAATTAATTTTAAGAGGAGGAATAAAGAAGAAAGTGAATGGGAAGGGGCAAGGAAGGAGGAGAGAGGAAAATGTGCCATAGTGAATGAACGAAAATCAAGCTTTCCTGTAAACTTCCATTAAAATCACAATTAAAATTTAAAAAATTTAGAAAACATAAAAACAGCCAGTGGAAAGCATTTAGATGACAGGACCCAGTGTGCACCCAATTATGGAGATGGCACAGGATGCAGCAGTGTTTTGTTCTGTTGCATGTGGGGTTACCATAAGTCTGTGGCCAAGTCAACAGTGAGAAACAGCCACCTGCCCTTTGGCACATCATGGAGCCTCAGTTTGCTTATCTGTAAAATTACTCAAAAGCAGTATTACTTGCACCAATATTGACTTCTCAGTTTTGACCAATGAGGTGCAGACAACTCAATGCCACACAACAACAGCATCACAAATACATCAGATGATAGCACCAGAGGAAACGGCTGAGGGATATATGGGAACATTTTGTCCTATCCTGACAACATTTTCAAAATCTAGAGTTATTCCAAAGTAGAAAAACTTATGCTTTTTAATAATTTAGGGCGGTAAAGTCAATATCCAATAAGAGAGTGACTAGCTTAATATCATTAAAGAGAAAGAAAATGCAGAGAGATAGAGAAGGATTAATGGAACTCAGAATTGCAGGGAGAAAGTGCAAGTAATGTTGTAGATATTACAATTAATATCATTGAGCAAAATGTGTATGAAAATGCATAGAATGAAAAAACTGCTTAGTAAACTTTGATTCAGATCATCACAACAAATAAATTTATATTAATAAATTAATTTCTTTAATTAAAAATAATTTTTCTCTTCAAGAAATAGCATTTATTGATAGATACAATAAATTCATACATGAGAAACTAACATTTGCCTGGGACAGAGTTCAGACTCAGTGAATATTATCATCTTTTTAATAGCGATGCCAGTCCTGCCACCCACCTGAGATTTCATCTTTCCTCCTTGTTGCTGTGCTGTTTTGACAGGTGTGATTCCAACCCAGAGCGGAATTCTTAACCTGAACAAAATGATTCAACAAATGACCGGGAAGACACCTTTATTCTCCTATTGGTTCTATGGCTGTCACTGTGGACCCAAAGGCAGAGGCCAACCCAAAGATGCCACAGACTGGTAACCCTACCCAGGCTCAGCCTTTGGGCACCATTTCTATGCTGCCTTCCACCCTGGGGTCCTCTCCTTTCCATCCGTTTTTTAGTGAATATTTATTGACTCCCTACCGTATACTAGGATATTAGCAGACACCCAATTAGAGAGTCCCCAAGAGACCCAAAGGCTACTTTCAGCCTCTAATGTAATCATAATACAGTACCTGCCTTTGTCATTGTGTATTGTTATGGTCTGTCTGCTGTTGAATTGGAAGTAACTTATAACTGATCCTCCAGCTGGTTTTCAGTCACATAGAAGGAAGTTGACCATCTTTCTGTCGTGGAGCAGATGGTGGATTTGATCCATGTATCTTTTTTTAAAAAAATTTATTTTATTTCATTATTTTTTGTATGTACCGTCAAATCAGATCTGACCGGTACAGAAGGAGATTGTTCCTCCTTCTCCAGCAGAGCATCTGGTGGATTCAAACCGTACATCTCTGAGATTGCAGTTGCAGCTTCTTGCCACTAGGCCACCAGAGCTCGCCACTTGAACCATGTACCTTTGAGTTCACAGTATAACTCCCTACCCAGAGAAGCAGGCCAGCTGAGCTTCCATTGCAGAATAAGTTTTCTAAAAGCATACCTCTTTTGGCTATACAGTTTTTCACTATCTGAAAGAAGAGCATTTCTATGAGGCCTTTTATGAGCCAAAATGACCTAAAATAAAGAAACAATTACCATTAATTTATATAGGGAATATTTGTTTAAGTGTTTCCAGATCCCCAAAATAGCCTGCCAAATCATATCCAATAAAGCTTAAAACCCAGAGTAACACTGATGGAGAGTGTTCACAGAGAGTTCAAAGCTGTGGGCTTGATGCTGAAAGGCTGAGTGTCATTCAGGTCAAGTCCTCAGTGATGACTCCAGGGCTCAGGGAGCTCACTGCCTCTTAATGCCTCAGTGCAAAACAAACACTGAATACTTGTTTTGCTGTTCAGACCTTTCTGTCAAATAAAATTTTAAAAATCCTCTTCAGATTTTTTTGGTTACTGAAAACAGGTACTAATGGTGGTCTTTGGTTAAAGCAAAATGACATACAGCTAAAGTGAATTTGCAAAAACCAAGGGAGACCTGTATGCCATTGGCTGTTGGGAAGGGCAAGCCAGAGGAGGGCTGAGAGCCAGTTTAACCTTTCTAAGTCTCTGCCCATCTGTGAAAGAAGGATAATGATAGAACTGCTCACACAGAGAGATCATGAAGATAAAAAAAAATATGTATCTAAAGCACACAGGATTGATGGTTCAATGATAGAATTCTCCTCTTTCATGCAGGAGACCTGGGTTTGATTCCTGGCCTGTGTGACTCATGTGCAACCACCACCTATCTGTCTATGGAGGGTTAGGGGCTTTCCCAGAGCACCAAGACTAATGCAAATTAGGAAGATAGGAAGAAAGATCTGGTGATTCACTTGCACAAATCAGCCAATAAAAACTCTTCGGTTCCCGTGACCAATTCAAGACCAATCACAGGGCAGACATGATACAGGGCAGGAAAGTGGTTCATTCCACTGGGCACAAAGTTGCCATTAGTCAAAGGTCGACTTAATGACAGCTAAAAACAGAAGCTTGTTTTGCCCTAATTGCTCAGGAGCTGCTCTGCTAAGCCAAAGGTAGGTGGTTTGATTCCACCAGCTGCTCTAAGCAAGAAAGAGGGACAATCTCCTCTGTGCGATTTATAGCCTCTGAAAACCCACTAAAGAGGGTCAGCTATGCATTCTGACTTGTTGGGCGTGAGTTGAGTGAGTTAATAACATCTTAATGTAGGAAGCTAGTTTCATTCTTAAATACTTAGTTGTGGTTGTTGTCGTTGTGTGCCATTGAGTCAGAACAGACACATAGCTGACCCTCCTGTGGGATTCCAGAGGCAGTTACAGGAAGAGATAGCTTCTCTTTCTCCCATGGAGGAACTGGTGGATTCTAACCATGTGCCTTTGGGATTGCAGAGCAGTTTCTTACCACTAGACCACAAGAGCTCCTTAAAAACCTTGTAGTAGTTTGAAATTAACACCTTGTACTACCCATGCAAGAAGAACAGTTTAAAGTACATCGCAACTCTCTATAAACATTAGCTGTCATGATCATAAAAGAGATTAGAACCCTGAGGGCCTTGCCTTTCCCAAGGTGGAGACTAGGTTTTTCCGCTGGTTTAGAGGGCAGTCAGAGAACCAAGTTGGCCAACGACTGCACAAAAGTGCTCCCTACCTCCTTCTCCCTCTTATTGTTTCCTGCCAGGTGCTGTAAGACACATGACTGCTGTTACATGGCATTGAAGAGTAAAAACTGCCGTTACACTACAGACCACTACAAATACAACATGACCCACGATGATATCCACTGCTGTGAGTTTCGGGTAATTAGGTTGGATCTGGTGGCTGAGAAAGGGAATGCTTCCACATATGATGCCCCGACATGCTCATCTTTCTCATGTACCCAGTGGCAGCCACTGGGCTACAGGTGGGGAGGGCTATATGAAGATATCCCCCGGGGGCTTTCATGTCCATGAAACCCTGCCAATATCATCAGAGGCAATGTAGGTGTGAAACGGACCAAACTGGGTCCCAGTTCTGACACTGATTGGTTCTGTGACCTGAAGCATGTTGCTTGGCCTCTATGAACCTTGGCTTTCTCATATGTAAATGCAGGATAGTTAACATAATCTAGCAGCTTAATGGGTAAGGAGCTGTGCTGCTAACCTAAAGGCATGCAGTTCGAATCCATTAGCTAGCTGCTCCATGGGAGAAAAAGGAGCAGTCTCCATCTGTGTGACTTACAGCCTCGGAAAACCTGAAGTGTCAGCTATGAGTTGAAGGCACATAACATAAACAATACCTCCCCTTAAAGCTATTGCAGAACTAAAACAAGAACAGACAGAATGAACCACATAGGATGCTGCCATCTGAGTCTTGTTCAGTAGATTACCCTGGCTACCAGTATTCCTGTTTTCACTGCTGCCACTATTGATTCTCATAACAACGCAGTGAGGAGGCAAAATGAGAGTGGACAACTGCTTGATGCACATGACTCAGCTGGGGTGCAACCCAGATCCTTTGTTTCCCAAATCCCTGACAGTGTTCTTCATATGGGGAAAGATAATAGGAGCCAAACCGAGAAACGAAAAGCTCCTCCTAGAGTCACTGTTGATGCAGGGCTTTCATAATAATTGTCCCTGAGAGGTGCACATAGTTAATGTGCTAACTAAAAGCTCAGAAGTTTATGTCAACCAGAGGTGCCTCTGAGGAAAGTCCTAGTGTTGCATTTCTGAAAAATCAGCCATCAGACCCCCTATGAAGCACAAGTCTGTTAGGACATATATGGATTGTCATGAATTGGGATCAGTTCACTGGCAGTAGGTACTGCTAATTATAATAGTCCACTCAAACTCAACTCATTGCCACCAAGTCACAATCAACTCACAGCTGACCGGCCAGAGGGTTTTCGAGAGTTTATAAATCACATGGGAGGAGATTGCCCATCTTTCTCTCTAGGATCTGCTGGTGGATTCTAGCCAGACAAGCCCCATCTTTGATGTAACTGTGCAGCTCCTTACAGACTAGGCTCCATCATCATCATCATCATCATGATAATAATAGTCAGTGTTTACTTAATATTTTCTATATACCAGAGAGGATGTTATACATATTGTCTTATTAACCAAAAATCCACCCCAAACTCTATTGCCTTTGTGTTGATTTAAATTCAAAGCAACCCTATATGTCAGAGTAGCTCTGTCCCAACCTGGTTTCCAAGGCTTCCCTCTTTATGGAATCAGATTGTCGTGTCTTTCTGCAGAGGAACAACAAGGCTATCAATTAGCTGCCAAGTACTTAACTGCTGCAGCACCAGGGCTGCATTTTTTGCTTATTTTTATTTCATTCTCACCAAAGTCACCACCAAGGCTAATTTTATCATTATTGCCACTTTATAGATAGAGAAACCAATGAATAACATCATTACTTCCTTCTCTGAGTCTTTGCAAAACTGTTCCATCTTCTGGGAACACTCTTTTTCCTCCACCCAGAGCTTCCCTGGGGAAGCTGACCCCTCAGGCCTCATTGAAATGACTCGTGGGCACTGAGTCAATTCCTACTGGGTTACATATGGGAGCCCTGCATAGTATCTTCCTGCCATTTGGTGCACTTTGGGATACTCCTTTCTGTGGTCCTCTTAGAACCTCACTAGAGCAGGAGTCCACCCTTCTCCCTCTAGAGTCTACCACACAGCAGATGTTCAATAATTGCTTATGGGATGGGTAGAACAGTAAGTGAGGAAGCAGTGGCATGCAGGGAGGTCCTGGCTCATGTCCAAGGTCACAGAAGTAGGGTTAAGAAAGCAGGGACGGATGCCCACGCCCAAGGCTGCTGTATCCAGGGAAGGCTGCACTGCCTTCAGAAGTCCCTATATCTAGGAAGGGTCATGCTCTGAGCTTCCTCTCATCTTCCTTCCCACAGCACTCGATGGGACTTGGTGTGAGCGGCATTTGTGTGACTGTGACAAGAAGCTGGCTATGTGCCTGAAGCACAACTTGGACACCTACAATAAATACCTCCGTTTCTACTGGCGGCCCCGCTGCCAGGGCCCGACCTCAAAATGTTAGGAGAAGCGTCCCCTGTACTGCCCCATCTGCCTCCACCCCATTCCTCTACTATCTTGTAATCTAGAAACTTCACCGGCTCACTGGCACTCCCATTCAGGCCTGAACCCCCATGAACCAGCGAGGCTTCTTGATTAACCATAATTAACATGCTCCCGGGTTAATCACAATCAACATGCTCCCTGGTTAATCATCATTAATGCCGCTGAACTGCACATGGGAAGAATGCTGAAATGGCAAAGGCTTTGTCACCTGCAAACTTAGCACAAACACAGATATATCAGTCAGTCACACAATGTAAACCGTATTTGAAACTCAATTTGAACAAATTATAGATAAAATAAAAATATTTTTATGTTTGGCAAGGTGAAATGTGAACACTGATTAGACATATAAGAATATTAAAGAATAATTAACTTAGAAAATGTTCCCTAAGGGCATCCCAGGCTCCTACACCCACCGTGCCTCTTTGACCTTCTGAATGCTCCCAGTTATGTCAACAGCTGGCTCCCCAGGGGCTGGGCCAGGAGCTTAGAAAGGCAGGGGTTCAGGAGGAGGTCCCCGGGATAGAATGTGGAGCCTAGGGGTGCCAGGTTCTCTACAGCAGTGTAGTCCTGCTTCCTGCCACCCTCTGGCCCCAGGCCCGAGTCTCACCCCCTCAGTACCCTCACAGGCTGCGCTCTGGGTGCAGTCCTGAGAAGGCAATTTTGACCTTCTGTCTTTGTTACTTTTCCTCTCTAAAACTCCCTCTGTACCCAGGGGTGGGCTTCTCACAGGCTTTGAAATACTACTTGCTGGATCCGGATCCTATTGGCTTGGGGAGCCTCATGTTTGGTCCATGACTGCCCTGCATGCGTCTCATCCCTGGCACTCAGAGAGGGGCCCAGCACAGAGAGGATTCCATATATAGTACTCAGTGAAGACCTACCTGGCCATGTGGTCTGTTCTGCTGCTGGCATCCAGGTCATGCATGGCCTTGAGCTCTTTGTAAGTATTTGTTCATGTTGGGCCTCCTAGGAGGAGAGCTTACTCCAGCTGCTGACTGTCTCCACAAAGGCAAACCTCCCTTTCAATCCCCTTACCCGACCCCAGGTTATCAGGATCCAAAAGCAAAGTCTTCTCCAGCGGCTTCCTGGTCACATGGTCTCTTCCTCCTCTGAGCTCTCATAGCAACTCATTGAGCCTTTCCGACAATGGCCCAAGGTTCTCTCATCTCCCCTATTAGGCTAGGTCCTCCTTTCATCTTTCTCCTCTTCGTCTCTTCCTCCCTTCCCTACATAATAAGTACTGGTATTTAGGATGTTGGAAATCAACTCGGAACAAGAACCCATAGAACAAGTGTTTCACCATGTCTTGGGAACCTGTAAAGCAGTGGATAGGAAAAGGTCATAACGTGTATTACTGGAGTCCATCCAGTTCCCCTGCTGGGCCTATGTCTCACCCCCAACTAAGTGTGTACTGGAGTTTAGTGCTAATACCTGCCTTTGTTTCCTAAGGCTTGTCTTTGCCAGCTAGAGCTACCTTGCCTGACCCTTTACTACCAGAGGTTATTGGTAACCAATGATTGATTGACAAGGGTTTCTCTACCCCTGTGCATGCTGCTTAATGACATGTCGCATGTCCTTACAGTCCCTGTGGGGTTAGGTGGAGACTAGACTTTTCTTGGAACCAACTTGTTGATTAGCTTCATTCCCTCTCCTAGCTTCTCTTCCTCAGCCCTTGAAGGTTCCTCTCGAGAGCAATCCCTCAGCAAATCAGTTATACAGGAATCCTTATCCCATATTCCCTTCTAAGGGAAAAAACCAAGACAGAAAATGGATCTTTACCATATAATGGTGAAGAAACTGTCATATGTATTTACCTATATTTCCATCAATGGGATTAGGGTCCATGGAGCAATCTACACTCCAGTCTGTAACAGCTGTCAACTAGACAGCTGATCAGCTCCATTCTGTGTTAAACTCAGTGATTCATATGCAGCAACATAATAGTAATTAGGAATGAGGGGGCTCTGGGTTTAAATTCAAGTACTGTTGTTGTTGTTATGTGCCGTTGAGTGCGTGTGACTCATAGAGATCCTGTACAAGAGCCCTAAACGCTGTTCTATCCTCTGCCAACCTTGCCGTCTCAAACGCACTCATTCCCACCACTCCACTCACAGAATTGATCCATCGCATCGAAGGTCTTCCTCTCCTGCACCGTCCCTCTACTCTCCCAAACATGATGTCCCTCTCTAAGGACCAGTCCCTCCTTGCAACATGCCCAAAGTATGTCAGACGAAGCTTCAAAATCCTTGACTCCGAGGAGCATTCCGGCTTCACCTTCTGCAGGACAAATCTATTTCATCTCCTAGCAGTCCATGATATAGTCAACACTCTTCTCCAGCACCACAGCTCAAAGGCATCAATTCTCTTTCTATCATTCATATAAATCACATCACTCAATAAGAAAAATACCAGTTTCCTCTTATGCAAAGTTTTTGGGAATGTAAGGAATCAGTGTGTGAGATAAGATCCCTAGATGGCAAAAATAGTTTGGCAAAATGAGTGGCTCAAACCCACTCAAGATTGCTGTGGAAGAAAGCTCTAGTGATCTATTTCCGTTAAGATTATAGTCCAGGAAACTTGGCAGTGCATTTCTACTCTGCAAAATAACATTTCATGAGTTGGAATTGACCTTACAGTAATGAGTTTGGATTTTGTTTTGGAGTAGATTAAATAAAATCAATGTGTGTTAAACTTCTCATATCATGCCAATCATGGAGTCGGGGGGAGGAGAAAGAGAGAAAGAGAAAAACACTCAAAGAGTAAACTCTGATTCATAGTGGCCATTTGTTCAACAGAAAGAAATATTATGTGACCCACATTGCCCACACAATCATCAGCATGTTTAAGTTCACGGTGTAACTATTATACCAGTCCATCTTCCAATAGTCTCCCTTTCCCTCACTGACCCTCTGCTTTGCTAAACAAGATGTTGTCCTCTATCATGTCTTGATGACATGTCCAAAGGGAAGCAAATTGGACAATGTTCTGTTGAGATCTGTATAGTTTTCACAAATTTAGAAAGTAGATTGTTACTCTTTTTCCCTCATTCTCTTATTGTATTGTTTATTGTTAGGTGTCATTGAGTTGAGTATGACTCATAGGGACCCTATGAACAACAGATTTAAATCCTGTCCTATCATGTGCCAACCTCACTATCTCTGACACATTCGAGCCCATTGCTGCAATTACTGTGTCAATCCACCTGGTTGAGGATCTTCTCCTTCACCACCCCTTCACCTTTTCGTGCATAATCTCCTTCTCCGAGAAATAGCGTCTCCTAGCAACATGCCCAAAGTATGAGAGATGAAGCTTTGTCATTCTTGCCTCCAAGGAAATCTCTGACTGCACCTTCTCCAAGACATGTCTGTCTGTTCTTTTGGCAGTCCATGGGGTTTTCATTACTCTTCTCCAACACAATAGTTATTTGTCTTCTACCATCCTTATTCACTCTCTAGAACTCAGCAGTATGCAGTATAGCAAGTGATTAAAAAGACCATGATCTGAATCAGGCATACTATACTCCTCAAGCTAACATTGTTGCTCTTCAATAATGTAGAAAGGTCTCTGACTGCAGACTTTGCTAGTATGATACATCTCCTAATCTCCAGACTGCTGGTATAAAGTGTATTGATTGTGGATCCAAGTAAGATGAAGTAGTTGACAGTTTCAGTCTTTTCTCCATCTATCATGATGTAACCTGCACTTACAGGTGATGGTGGTTGTTGATTTCCTTCGAGTCGTTCATGACCCAAAGTGACCCTGTGAACAAAATTCCTGAAGCCCCTCTACAACTATTAATCAAAATTTATCAAAGTTCATGGAGTTTCCAGAAGCATGTGGTTTAGGAAGTGGGTATACTTATATCTCATGTGAAACATAGATCAAAAAGCTGTTGTGAGAACAGAGCAAAGGAGCATTAAAATTAAGAAAAATGTGCATCAGCGTTGTATCATTTTTCAATACCTGCTCAATCTGTATGCTAAGCAAATTATTATGTGAGAAGCTGGATTCTAGGAAGAAGAATGTGGCATCCGGACTAGAGAAAGACTCATCAATAACCTTCAGTATGCAGATTACATAACCTTGCTTGCTGAAAATGAGGAGAATTTAATACACTTGCTGTAGATTAAACACTGCAGCTTTCAATATGGATTGCATCTCAATGTCAAAACAAAAATTCTCACCACTGGACCAATAGGTGATATCATGATAGATGGAAAAAAGTTTGAAACTGTCAACAGTCTCTTATAGACTTGAAGGCATAACAAAACATTTCCACCTTCGTGACTTGCTGGCATTTGAAATGGCATTGGCCTATCTTCTAGAATCAAAGCAACACGCAACACGCATGACCAACTGAGAGAGAGTGGCACATAGTGAACCCTCTTTAAATGCTAACTCTGTTATTACTTTGTTGTTATGTCCTGACCAAATAGGAAGTCAACCCCAAGCATAATTGGAAGGAGGACATAGTTCATCCACGTTTCCTTCTCTCTCCCAGCTGTGCCAACTGTGTAGCTGTTAGGACCTGATAACCAAGGCCCATTTACTCAAGATCTGTCTTTGGCAACGATAGCTCCTACTTATCCATCAGGGTTACCATGTGCCAGGCACAATGACCTTGTGATAGTCTCTTTCCTAATACACTGTTGTGAAGTTGGTATGATTGTTCCCATTTAGTAATTGAGGAAACAGAGGCTCAGAGTGGGGAGAAGAACAGCCTGAGGCCCCATAACCAGGAAGACAAAAAGCTGTGATTCTGCCATCTATTCTTCTCACCCCCTCTCTGGTACACGTCCTGTTGGTATACGTCAGGAAGCCTCCAGCTGAAAACTGTGACTCAGTCCGCAGTGCTGGCATTTATGATCTCAGCTGATGAGACCAGAGGCTCTAAGTCTGGCTGTCTGTCAACTTGATGATGTTATCAGGGACTAGTTTCTTTCCTGCTTTCAACTC